CAAATTTGCTTCATAAACGTAATTATGTTTTGCATTACAAAGCTTTAAAACAAGCAGTCGATGCTGGTCTCGTGTTGAGAAAAGTTCATCGCGTACTAAAATTTAATCAGTCGCCGTGGATGAGAGGTTATATTAACTCGAACACTACAAGAAGAGCTGCGGCAAAAACTGATTTTGAGAAAAACTTTTTCAAACTGATGAACAATTCTGTTTTTGGTAAGACGATGGAGAATATTAGGAAACGCGTAAATATCGAACTAGTCAATGATGTCAATCGCAGAAACAAGCTTGTGTCAGACGATGATTTTGTGAGCATGAAAATATTTAATGAGAATCTTGTTGCGATACAAAGAAGAAAAACAAATCTAAAACTAAACAAGCCGATCTACGTTGGAGCTTCAGTCTTAGATTTATCAAAGTGGCTGATGTACGATTTTCATTATAATTTTGTTAAAAATCAATGGCCGGCTAGTAGATTATTATTTACTGATACTGATTCGCTCGTATATGAAATCGAATGTGAGGACATCTATCAGGACATGCATGATAATAGATATCTGTTTGATCTTTCTGATTACCCACGTGACAGTAAATTTCATGACGACACAAATAAAAAGGTTATTGGTAAGTTCAAAGATGAAATGAACTCGAGCGCTATCAAATACTTTATCGGATTACGTAGTAAAATGTATGCCGTATTGTTAGACAATAATAAAATAACAAAAAAAGCAAAAGGTCTGCCTCGTGATTTTGTTAAAAAGTTTATAAAATTTGATGACTACAAGTATGCGCTTGATGGCGGTGTTAGTTTTATAAGAGCTATGTCAATTCGGACAAATCATCATAAGCTCGAAACAGATGTCCTTATCAAACGCGGTTTGAGCAATTTTGATGATAAACGTTATTGCGAAAATGGGGTAGATACATTTGCACTTGGGTATTGTCATGATGATAGAGATATACTTGACATTATCTTTGCAAACTAAAATTTTATCTAAACTTTAAAAATAATGTTTGAAAATTTGACAGTAACAAATAGCTACAGTAGCAAAATCAAATATCTAATGATGGACGACAAACCATTGACAGTTGAAATTAATAATGAAACATCAGGCATATGCTTTAGTGGTACCCGTGACAAGTTAAAACTTTCGCTCATCAGATCTGATGACAGCGAGTATTTTAATTATCTCGAACAATTGTATCAAAAGTTGCTAGCGGAATTTAACAACTTTCACTGTCCGATTAGTCAGCATAAATACACCAAACTTACAATTGATCTTGATCGGTCAAAGGTGTATTTTATCGACAAAAAATACCCTCTTAACAAATCACAAATAAAAGATTTGTTTGAGTCCCGTCGTTATGTGAGCGGTAAAGTAAAGTTTAGCCTCTATTACCATGATAATGAAATATTTTTGATATCTACAGTTGAGACATTAACAGTTGGTAATGAGGTATAATACCACTTACCTTACTGGAATTCTAATGCGTAATTTAGTCCACAATCGCCACGCTCTGCTAAATCGTAATGATTTGGAAGATTGAGTCTGACATATCATTTTGCTTATTCTGGAAGATCACGTAATTAAATTTTACCTGTTACCTAGGTATTTTGCAACAGGCGTTCTATTGTATTTGTTTGGAGGTCTAGAGGGGTTGTTGAGCTCGGATTCTTAACGCAATTATTGATTGCAACAGGTGTTTTATTACGTTACCTAGGTATTTTGTATTTGTTGAGCTCGGATTCTTAACGCAATTATTGATTGCAATAGGTTTTCTATTACGTTACCTAGGTATTTTGTATTTGTTTGGAGGTCTGGAGGGGGTTGTTGAGCTCGGATTCTTACTTTCTCCTACTACTTCTGGGGTCAAACAAGAGTTTCAAAGTAGTTCATGCAGAAGACATCATGCATATTTGATCATCACCATTTTCATGTAGGACAAACAAGACATCATTGCACATCTTTTAATTAAATTCCCATTTTGATAAACCAACATCATTGTCATCTTAACAGGACCACATAAACATCCTAAGAAGTCATTCTGTACACACAAAAAAAATCATTTTGATATAATCATCCATCTAAGCGAAGTAGAGATAGCAATATTTTCAAAATGGTTACTATTCTGGCCATATTGGAAGTCAGATCAGTGCCATTTTCTTTAGAACTAACGAGATATCATACAGTGTCTTTTGAGGAATGACTTTTCATGGAATTGGAGTAGTGGCACTCTAGTTTTGTATTTAGCATAGGGTTAGAATTTTAAAGAAAAAGAATTTCCCTGGGGTTTCCTCACTAGTTATACTGGCTATTTAAAAAAAAAAAACATTGTATACAGCTTGGCCTTACTCCAGATGTACACCTTTCAAAATAGTGCTAGCTCCACTTCCCGAACTTGAGGTAAATTGTAAAAATAAAGAGCTGATAACTTTTTGTACATTTTATATATTTGGTAATTCATTCATTGCACTTTCAGAAGCTGGTAATGTCTAGTCTGGCAAAATTCATTTTCTTTATTGTAATAGCTGCCAAGGATAGTGTACTTTAGACAAATTTAGGTTGATTTTTGGAGCACACTAAGGAAGCTGTCATTTTAGGTAGCAGTTTTCTATGATCATTAAATTTTCCAAAAGTACAATATCCAAAGAAATCTCAGCCACATTACATGAAAGTAGCCTAGAGGTAAGCCAACATTCTCTCCACAGTGCATGCTTTATATGCAAACAACTTCACCTTACATACATCATTCAAAAGTACATAAATGGTGAGTGCCACCATAAAGAGTATATAGGTATTATTAATGTATGATTTAATTTTGATTGTATGGCTGAAATATTTAAGTCGCAAGCATCAAAACAATCCTTTGTAATAATTGTCCTGTATTTCCCCCCTCAAAACAGCATTTATTAGAGTCAGAGTCTTAAACCGGTACAGCCCCCCTCCATATGATAAAAAGTGAACTATTTTAAAATTCCACATTGCATTTTGTCAACATAGCAACCAATGTTATGCTGAAAGACAGGAACATGAAACTAGCCATATTTATTTCTGAGATGGGAATACTAAATATTACAGATTGAACAGGGATGGAACAGGTGAGGTTCAAAAATGTCAAAGTCAAAGGGTAAAATATTAACTTATTGTTTAACTTGGAAGAAAGCAAATTTGCTTTGTCATATTTATTTTTTTTTATTTTATTGCAAATAAACAAAAATAAACATTTTCACCATATGTTTCTTTTACTTAATGCAACAGTTTTTAATTTAAGTTGAATTTATTCCTATATTCTAAGACTTCTAATTTCCCCATAATTAAGATCACTACTCACACAAACATGCCTCATGGCAAATTATGTAAGCTAGAGAAAAAAAAAAACATAATTGACTTATTTTCGTGAATAAAATCAATGTTACTGTACCATTTTATTTAGAACAACATACATAATAATATGAAAAAAAGAAAAATAATTGCATACATTTTTATATTTGTTTTAAGGTGCTTTACAGTTTCATATTTAGCATAGGGTTAGAATTTTAAAGAAAAATAATTTCCCCAGTTTTCCTCACTAGTTATACTGGCTATATAAAAAAGACTTTATAAATCTTAGGTATTATTCAAAGAACCTTTAATTCTCTTTATGTTGATGTATGATTTATGGGTATAATATGAGTTAGAGAGTATACAGCTTGGCCTTACTCCAGATGTGCACCTTTCAAAAAAGTGCTAGCTCCACTTGCTCATTTTCACTTCTCGAACTTCAGAGGCAAATTGTAAAAAAAAAAAAGAGCTGATAACTTTTATACATTTTATGTATTTGGTAATTCATTCATTGAACTTTTAGAAGATGGTATTGTCTAGTCTGGCAAAATTCATTTTCCCTATTTTAACAGCTGCCAAGGATAGTGTACTTTAGACAAATTTAGGTTGATTTTTGGAGCACAAGGGAGCAGTCATTTTAGTTAGCAATGTGTTGAGATCATTTACAATTTCCAAAAGTATAATATCCAAAGAAATATCAGCCAAATTAAATGAAAGTAGCATAGAGGTAAGCCAACATTCTCTCCACTGTGCATGCTTAAAATGCAAACAACTTCACCTTACATACATCACTCTCTCAAAAGTATATAATAACTGGTGAGTACAATTATTAGCAATACCAAGATTTTTAAGAGAGCTAATATGGTGGCCATATTGGATGTTAGATCAGAACCATTTTCATTTAGATCAAATTAGATATCACAAGAAGTCTTTTGGATAACTCCATGTCAACACAACAATCAATCAAGGGGATAATGATATCAAAATTTTCAAGACAGTTGTTGCAGTAATCATATTAGCAATCCTATTAGCAATCTCATTAGCAATCCTATTAGCAATCCTATTTGAGACCAATTATACATCTCAAGAAGTCTTCTGGATCACCCCCATGTCAATATGACTTTCTATTCAGGAGTAACATAACAAGAATTTGAAGATGAGTGCAATGGTAGTCATATTAGATGTCAAAATTTCTACACCATTTTTCTTCAGGATTAACCAAACATCTTTGGTAAAACCTCTTTTTGATATGCCTTTCTGTTTATGAGGAATAGTAATATATGTAATAGGATTTTTAAGATGGCTGGCCATACTGAACAACAGATTGCCACCATATGAGGTCATTTAGTGAATTTCCCATGATCATATTACCATCCATTCAGGAGGAGTGTCAGTAACAAGAGTTTCAAGATGTCCATTGTGTTGGCCGTATGATGTCCAAGTAGTACCATTTTAATTTTGGACCAGCTTGACATAATAAGAAGCCCTTTGATGAAAATCTCACTCAAAAGAGCAGCAGTAACAAGATTTTTTCAAAATGGCTACAATATCAGCTATAGACTGGATGTCAATTTTAATTAAAAACCACTCAAACAAGGTAAAAAATCTCTTAGCAAAAACCTCATGTTGATAAAACATTTTCAATTGGATATTTCAGCTGAACCATTTTCATTTTTAGACTATTCCGGTGGCCTAGTGGTTAGAGCATCCGCCTCGGAAGCAGGAGGTCGTGGGTTCGATCCCCATTCGAGTCATACCAAAGACTTACAAAAATGGTACTAACAGCTGCCTCACTTGTTGCTCAGCATTAAGAGGTTGGTGTTAGGACTGGTCGGCCTGGTGTCAGGATAATATGACTGGGTGCGACATCATGCTACATGTCTGCGGCATGATACCCCAGTGCTAGACAGCACATTAAACTGCCACACTGCAAACATCGAAGTGATATGACTAAAAAATTGTTAAAAGCTACGTTAAAAATCATAAACACCACAACACCATTTTCATTTAGAACCAACTTTTAAGACCTGGGACGAAAGATTGATGGCAATCTTCCATGCAGTAGCAATAACAAACTTATACTCATGGAGACACATGAACACTGGACAACAGGCCATCCTATGAGCTATGTTGGTCAATGACCAGTAGAGCTAAACACTGGTCAAGCGAAGTCTGTGTTTAATATTTGCCCATTTTATCAAGTTTAATATACATCATTACCAACTCTGCTCTTCAAAAAATTCTTTTAAATGTTAGGCAAACATTCAGGGTTTTAAATTACAGCTATTGTTCTTGTGTAATTTATTCCATCATTGTAATGCAAGCACCACTTTAAATGAATTCACCAGACTGATGGAACCTGACCTAATCACAATTCTGAATTTTTTTTCTCAGCTGGAATTTGAATCTTTTGTGAAAACTGCATCTCATATCTGGTATGAACATAAAACAAAAATGATAAAAAAAAATTATGGTACATGGACAAAATATGTATTGAGCAAGTAGGTAAAATATCTAACTAGTAATTGCAAATCTGTCAGCTTCAACTTTCAAGTTTTTATAGCAACACTGAATTAAATATTTCAATGCTGGAAATTTTTCCACAAAAATGATTAAAAAGCTGCTGGATGTGGTTTCAATATTTTCATAATGATAATTATATATCTTTAAGGAAAAGTGTCTAAGCAGTGGACACAACTATAATCTATGAAAGTAACCAATTGTCAAAAAGCATGTATGGAAAAACACATTAAACGACTGCTATTCTCATGCATAGATACACACATACATATATTTCTGTCAATATAATTTTGACTTTATCAGCCATAAAAATCTTAATAAGTATTTTCATCTCTTCTATATAATCATGGGAAAAACACAATAAAAACTGGTATCATAAACATGTAAACAAAGAAAAAGAAGTAATAACTTTTATTCGTCAATATGAGATATCCATAGAAAGATATCTGGTTATTGTGACCCAATTTTGCCTATACTGAGAATTACTCAAGATAAATGCACCTATAAAGTTGTATGATTACATAAAGCATTGTATGAAAAAAATGAACTAAATACAAAAATTTAAAATAATTACATGAAAAATTGGACACTGTGACCCTATTTTCCCTATGATAAGCAGTACCCTTCATGATGACATAAAGTTTCATGACTATCTAAAACAGTGTAAGGAGAAACTGAGCTAAATGCAAAAATGTAAAATGAATGACTATGCCAACATCAACACTGACAAGGTCATCAGAAAATTTATACCTGTCTTGATCATCCTTTGCAGATGAGACAAAAATATGTAGCATTGGTAATTCAATTCTGGGTTACTTACATGTGATCAAACTATGTTTTACATGGAAAATAAAGTGTTTACAATTCTTTATGAGATTAAATGTAAGAACTTCTACAACAGACATAAACTGAGATACGTCATAGTAAAATAACTGAATGAAGTACTTACTTTGTAGGGGAAAGAAGCATGCAATTCTCTCTGTGTGCTGAGGCCATTATCAGGAATGGTTTATCCAGGCTGAAAACTTTCTGATCAAAACCAGAGTTCACAAATTGCCAACTGCATCTTCAATAGCTTATTTGGGTAGATCATGTCTTCAATTACATGATTAAGTACAGTCAATAATGTCCAAAAATGTATTTTTGCTTCAAGCATTACACTCTCCAATAAGAGAATCATGATCAATGGATGTTTTTATCTACAAATACAGCATCAGACAAGTGAGCAGTTAGTGTTTCTTTTTCTTCCTCTGTCAATCTGATTACTTTCCTGTACTGCTGAAAACATGAAATAAAAGTAATACAGTACAGTATCAGCTTCATTGATGGCCATTTACCATTACCCTCTGTTCACAGCTACTGCTGCATGATGCACACAGTGTTATCTGGTTTGTAGTGGTGGGATGATTAATCCAATTTAAAGACTGTTAAGAAAAGTAAAATCAAGCATTTGATTATGATTTTTATCAATAACTATAAATGATACTGGTTTTTCTTTTCTGTATTATTCAAAATTGAAGAGTGAAATCTTCCAGGAAAAGTAAATGTCTGAATAAAGCTTCAAGCTAATACAGGTTTCTCTGTAAAATACCATATGAGTGCTAGCATATTGTGGCTGACAGCAAACTGTTCAACTCTACGGATATAAGCAATTTGAGAATTACCAAATATACAGAAATTACATCATCCATGAAAAAATATACAAAATATCTTTCATTAAAATTAACTGTAGAGCAGTTATAATAAAGCAATATCTAAATTTTGACTGATTCCTAATACTGCTAACATACCAATCTATCTAATGCCTCAGTATACAGCACATCATCTAGACCTTGGGTCAGAGACTATACAATTCATCCTCTATCACTATGATCACAGATCTCTGTACAATTTATCCTCTATCACTATGATCACAGATTTCTGTACAATTTATCCTCTATCCCTATGATCACAGATTCCTGTACAATTTATCCTCTATCACTATGATCACAGATCTCTGTACAATTTATCCTCTATCACTATGATCACAGATTTCTGTACAATTTATCCTCTATCACTATGATCACAGATCCCTGTACAATTCATCCTCTATCACTGATCACAGATCTCTGTACAATTTATCCTCTATCACTATGATCACAGATCTCTGTACAATTCATCCTCTATCACTATGATCACAGATCTCTGTACAATTCATCCTCTATCACTATGATCACAGATCTCTGTACAATTCATCCTCTATCACTATGATCACAGATCTCTGTACAATTCATCCTTTATTCCTATGATCACAATCTCAGTACAATTTGTCCTATGACCCCATAATCCCATATCTCTACATTCATCATGTAGCACCTTTATGATTACAGATACAATATGTCTAGTCCTATGATTATAGATCTCTAACAATTCACTCTCTAGCCCTATAATTACAGATGTCTATACAATGCATCCTCTAGCCCAATGATTACATCTACACAACTCATCCTCTGGCCCTGACATCACAGACCTATATACAATTTGTTATCTAGCCCTCAGATCACAAATCTCTTTACCACTTGTCTTCAAGCCTTCTTCAGATCTCTATATAATTTGTTTATCACTTAGATTACACAGTTCTATACAATTCATCCAGCCCCATGATCACAGATCTCTATACAATTTGTCCTCTAGCCCTATGATCACTGATCTCAATAAAATGCACTCTTTAGCCCTATGATTACAGATCTCTCAACAATTCAACATCTAGCCCTATGATTCATCCTCTAGCCCTATGATCATAGATCTCTATACAATTTGTCCTCTTTCCCTATGATCACTGATCTCAATAAAATGCACTCTTTAGCCCTATGATTACAGATCTCTATACTACTCTATACTATTCAACATCTAGCCCTATGATTCATCCTCTAGCCCTATGATCACAGATCTCTATACAATTCATCCTCTAGCCCTATGATCACTGATCTCAATAAAATGCACTCTTTAGCCGTATGATCACAGATCTCTACAATTCAACATCTAACCCTATGATTCATCCTCTAGCCCTATTATCACAGATCTCTACAATTGATCCTTTGGCCCTAGCATATTGAACAACATGAACAGCATATAAAAATGCAACATCTGTTTCACTCCTTATGTAAATGAATACCTAAAATGTACACACATATTGGTTACAAGATCTTTGTGCAGCATAAATTAAAATCAACTTTGGACAATGTGACTTTAAAGAAAATCACTTTTATTATTGATTCTGGTGGTGCTTTTCTTTCTGAATCCCATTTATTTTTTGTCTGTCATTTGTCCCCAACCTCCATTTCCAACCTTTAAAGACAAAACTGATACATGGTCAGTGTCCTTCTTGATTATACAAAAGAAGCATTCATAGCCACTTTATATAAGTTGGATTTAATGCAAACATAAATCATGCAATATATAATTTAGTCACATTTTATTTTCTAATACAGTGGTACATACCTTGACAAAGGCTGACAAATCCAAGAGCTCTTTTATACAAGACTTATTAAGGACATATTGAGGAGTCCTCAAAGAGATCAAATCTTGGCAGACCAATAAGGTACATGAAACAGAATGCTAGTCTACAGAAGAATTAAAAGACAAACCAGTAAGGAAGACTGGAGTCTATAAAACCATTTTGATTTTATGACAGTATATAAGACACACAAAAGCTCACTATGTCACAGCATGGCAGAAACAGTGCAAACAAATTATGAATAATCTCAAGGATCTTAAGTACAAGTTTTGCAAACAATGTCCAGCTCACCTTTTTTTTTCCGAAACTAAAGATCAACATACAGGAAAGAAAAAAAGAAGAAAGAAAAGGCCTGACTTTCAAACTTTAAGAGTCCAGGTCAGAGTCAGACATTAATAAGCTAATAAGCAATTACTCATAATCAAGTCATTTGAATCATAGTACAACAGAAGTGGAGATCTAGGAAATGGCTGATTTAGCAGGAATCATGCTAGTCCATGCTGCACTTAATGAGGTCCTCAATTCAAAAACCATAAAGGATAAAAGGTAACAAAATATCATGCAAACTCCTTCTCTGATATACTAGTGTTCTTTATTTGTTCCTAATCAATAAGTACCAGAATATTTCCCTGAGGAAGAATCATAATTCTCCACTGACCTTTCTTAAGGTCATGAATAAAGTCCATTGGAAATGCTGTAACAAAGTTTTCAGAGCTTCAAGCTCTGATTTGTCCCCTA